GTGTGGCGTCTTTCTGAGTGAATCTAGATGTGACGAATTTCTGCCTATAACAAACAGAAAGGTTGAACTAGCTTTGCCGTTATCGCTAAAATTCATCTGTTTCACCAAGATTGCTGTTAGGTGATTCATACTTGTTTACAAGATATTATCAACTGAAATGTATCTTTTAACTAGTAAATTTATCAGCGTACCTAATGATGCTGTTTATAGAGTAATGTTGTCTACAATTGAGAAGAGAGAACGATTTCACTTATCGTTGAATATTGAAACATCGCAATATTTTAACTGCACAAGGTGAATTTTATTTCTCTTTAAAGTAGGTGAAGACTTTATGCCATGCAAATTTGTAGGGGCTCAGTAGGTAACTATGGAGAGAGGGAACAAATCTCAAATCCTCTATCTACTGGAGGAGGATTCATTCGCTAGGTATATGGAAATATTTGTGGTTCAAAACTTTGTAAGTATGTAAAATGTGTGTTTTGCATCGGAGTGTAATTAGTGACAATTGTTTCCGTCCGCGGCCACGTTAAGTATCAAAATGTTGCTATACTTAGCCAAAAAAGCTTCATACAAATTACCGTTACGGGTAGCATACCGGAGTATTCTTAAAATCATAATACATTAGTTGTAGCAACTATCTGAAAAACTTTTGTTTAAAGCAGTGAAAGAATACGATTGCCAGTGCAGGAGAAATTTGCATTACCAGTTACCTGTAAACCAACACTATATGTAATACTGTAATTTTGTCCAGTTTATTATCGAGCAGATGGTAGGAAACACTGCTTTCTTACAACAATCAATCACTTTTGCCCTACCGATAAATTAATTTACTTAAATGACTGATCTTGGTTATCAACCGCATCCTTGATAAGCTTGTAGCAGTAAAACATTGCTGGTGATTTCCAAAGGCATAATCCCCTTCTAGCAAATCCGACATCTAGAGAGGATGCCTTAACAAACTTAAAACAAGCTGAAAATAAGATTCTATTAAATGTTCTTGTACGAGGCACGATCACCAGACTTCAGTATCATTTAGTCAAAGTCACAGAAACGCTATGTGCATTGCGTAGATCTCCTGTCTTTGGACAAAATACGACTAAGTTATGTAATTACACTACACAAGCCAAAGATGGATGAAAGGCACCCATTAAAAATAAAGCTTTTGTCTATTTTCGAAAATCGCACATTCTTAAATTATACAAGTATTTCTATATCCAGATAATTAAGGTTCATCACAACTTTCAAAGCAGATAGATATCTACATGTCCGAAAAAGCACTAGAATGCTCTTTCAGCCTGTGGGGCATCATCAGTAGTGTGCATCCTTTTGGATACATCAGGATTCGAACCCACAAGCACCAGCGGCTTGCACAGCCAGTCAGCAGCATATTCCACCGCGCCATTGGAGACAGCTTCGGACCGTCATGATTTACAAGCTAACTGTGATATAGCGCGTCTTATCATCTACTACCATGCAAGTTAGGAACTTTGCAGAGAACAGGGTTGGCCCGAAAGACACGACGTCCACTAACAGTTGCTACGTACGACATAGCATTTAGTAACTCTTAGGGCAGATATATTTTGATGTACTGATGCGTAGAGGATTTTGATATAGTTATTTGCGTTTCGTCACAGCCAGCTTCCAAATCAGATATCCGTCCACATGGCCGATAAAGCGCTATGCTGGTTTCCACTGTCCACCGTGGCTCGGTAGCATAAATTGCTGACTGGCGGTGCAAGCCGCCGGTGGTTATGGGTTCGAATCCTGATGCATCCGATGGATGAGCAATACGGATGGTGCCTAACAGACTGAAACTGCTGCCTAGTGCTTTTCCGGGCATGTGGACGAATATCTGACTAGGAAGCTGGCTTTTAAGAACATAATTATCTATATCACAATTCACTACTCATGAATAATTTTATATCCGTTTAAGTAAACCATATGCTAAAGGAGTTTTCCGTTTCTGTAATATTTTATGTTGAGTAATGTAACACGCTGTTAACGCTACCTTTTAAAAGTTTTGCTTCCCACTTTACTTCATTGTGCCGCAATATTTTGGACACGTGCGGCGAAATCGGACCAGAGTAATTTTCAGGACAGCTCAGCATACGACTTAATATGTAAGCATATGTTTCCATAACTTATTGGCGAGCCTGTTTAAAGTACCTTAACTGTTCAGTTCAGCCGGAATCGCAGTCCACATTTGTATTGTGCGTGGCGAGCCAACCAAACAGCTTATACTTCAAAATGACCATGCAATCAATCGTTTACCGTTGTGATAGGCATTGCGTTTCGTGACCCCATGTCCGAAGAGACATAAACCGACTGACACATTCAAATGGTCTTGGGTTTGTTTCCTGCTAACATAACTGGTGAGGCTAACTAAATCCGAAACCGGTAATGCGATGCAGTGATTTTGGGCAGGCAATTTCCATGGTCCATCTGCTTCAAACATTTGCCGGTCCAGTGATCCAGCCAGCCATGTTTCTCTTTAGTGTGAATCGTAGTCCACATTGAGATTGTGCTTTGTAACCAAATCACAGTGCATTGGCTTCAAAAGTACCCACAAATAAGTCATTTAACAACTTGTCACAAATGATACTACATCGTTTAATAAGTTTGTTTTGATAGTCCTATATTTTGCATAAAAGACTGTTAAATGTGCAGCTCTTAAAATCGTGGAATGTTTGTCTGAGGAATAACGCACTTTTCAGCCTATTACCTATAATTAACGAAATTCTATTAAACAGGTGCAACAGCTGTGATGAGGGTTTGTGTGTTTGTATTCGCATATACTTGCGAATGCATGGTTAATTTGGCAAACTGGCTAGACGTCAAACCGCTTTGTTTTCTTTATACTGTGTTCTGTGTCATGGTAATGTGTACGAAAATTGCACAAGCGGATACTGTAAATTATGTGTCAGAGTACTATGTATTTCTACACAAATCCGATGAGACATGGCGCGTCCACCATTTGTTTGGCAGTATTGGACTTTGGTTGTGATTGTTACTACTCGTTGACCATACCCCAAAGATATTTCTTAAAGTGAAACAAACGCTAATTTAGGTAAACAAGTAACAATAGAGAAACTGGAGAATTTCCCTACCACAGTAAAATAATTATTTTTATACGGTACTCTATTGAGTTCATTTACAACTGTGCTTTATAATGCGCACAATCAGAAATTCCCCAGTCGAGGCATAACAATTAAATCCGCCACTGCCTTGACTTAGCGGTAAATAAATTCTAAATGCTTTGTTAGTTGAGTTAGTTCAATTGACGTCACTAGTTTTTGGTTACGGGTAAGCTTAAGTTTATGAATACGAGACTTCATTCAAATCAGGAAATGAGACAAATGAACAGTTGACAGATGATTGCTATCAATGCACTATTGTTTTATCCATAGACACCATAGATTCCGTGTGTCCCTACGCAATGCTATAATCATGTCAATGAATTGAAACTTGCATTTTTGTCAAAATATTTCCCACTTGCTGGTGTGTGGATAATTTGCGTGAGGAAATTGCGGTATGGTATCACTGCTACATTGTGCACAATTCGGTGGCGAGGAAAAGTTGTGTCAACGTCAGTTAAGGTTAAGTAGCTTACTCTTGCTTTTACATGCTGGTGGGAAATTATTATCTAAATATATGACAGAATTCGCAGACACTGTATTCATAACCGCTTAGGATACATCTTATTACTGAAATGGTGGGCTAACTGCTCAAGCTACAAGTCGTAGAAGAGCTGCCTTCCGCACTGCTACTCAGTAACCAAAAACATCAGCTGTACATTTCAGACCGAGGTCTAAAACAGTTAATGAGAAGCAGTTGTTAGCATGAAGTAAGAATTCCATTGTCCTGCTGTTACTCTCAGCAGGAGATATTGCGTTTTTACATCGGGCTAGTAATTTGCTGTCTGTATGCATCATGCCCCTAACAATTGGAAATGTGTGAGGACCGGCCTGAAAACAAATATAGACAGAATGCAGGTAAATTTTCGTCTATATAATATGTCAGCCAAATGTCGGATGAAATCCCTGCCAATCAGCAGTGAACTTAAAGTGACCTAATCTCCCAATTTACCTGGTTAATAAATGCGTGTTTCAGTAAATTGAGTTTTACCTCGACGTCTGTATTGGATATCCTGCCTGTGCACCGAATTTACAAGAGCAATTTCCCTTTATTTTTTCATTTCAACCTAGTTTTAGTTTACCTTTATCTCAGAAAATGCGCTAACGTGTTGTACAAATTCATCGTGGATATCTGAATTCGCTATGTGTTCTTGTCCCGTTTGTTTGAACGAGTGCAATCAACAATAGCCATAGTTCACGTTTGTTGCGTTCTTTAAAGCCTCCTGCTGGTTTGCCAAGCCGCTATATTTTACTTTGTTATTTCGCGTGAACCAATTTTCACGCAATATCTCAGCAACTCAACTGAGTTTCATGTTCGTGAACCGTTGCACGTATAGCATAGGTTCACACATGTTGGCAAATTATACTAACTGGATAATGACAGTCTCTTTAAGATAAAACAGTATGATCTCGGATATTGTCTGCTTTCAAGGATAAATATTTTATTCATGTAATAAAAAACCTCCATGGAAAGTTTTAATCTTGCTTCACCTCTCTCTGGGTTAAGCATAACTGCTGAAAACACTAAAACTTTCTTAAGAGCGACGACAAACTATGCATTCCTTACATTATACTTAACCATCGTAAAGTGTTCTTACTTACCTAGATATGCAAAGTTAAAGAATTCACTTGCACCCGTTAATGAGAATAAAAATTCCTGGTAGTGTGTTCTAATGTCACAGTAAATACGCGTCCAGTCCCAATTGTTCCAGATCTTTTTGACAGGAAACGTCATAACCGGTGTCTGCTAATATTAAGCTATCTTGCTGCTATCTGTTATTAATTTATCAATCATTTCCCATTAGAATTAGACAGTTACATGACAAATCGTCGCAGATTTACTTCTACCATACACGACAAATCTACTCACTCTGATAGAAGGACGGCATCGTATTTGGATGCTTGACTGTACCGGTTTTCCTGAAGTAGAATGAAAACAACTCAGTAAACTATTTCCGTTGCATATCTCTAGGTGATGAAGACATGTTTACCACATCAACTTGTTCCTCTTTAATTAGATTTTATTGTAATCAACTGACACATAATATCTGTTACTGGCATGAGTCCTGTAAATAGTTTCAAACAACACAAATGAGCTTACAAGAGACTAATAGGGGGAGTGGAGTAATGTAATAGAAGTTAGCTCATCTAGCCTCAGTTTGGTAACTTCGTGGCTTGGTGAGGAGGCATGTCAGTAAGGTGAAAGTCAGTGGATTGGGAGCTGAGCTATCCAATGACTAATCCGGTTGTTACCGTCCCAGGTATCCAAATGACCTTCATCATGGGATGGTGACAGAAGGGTTGTGGGTTCATGCTCCTCAGGCGCAGGTGGGAGGTACACAGCTGACGACTCCCGAAACGGTCCTACAGGACATTTCCGCGCACGTTCAAGATATCGGAATAAATCTAGATATGATAAGCGCCTACTAATAACAAATTAAATCACAAGATTGCACGTTTTAACATTTGTTGTTTATCTTACATTTACTTGAAAGTAGCTGGAAGCCTATGGAATATGCGTCAAAAAGCACCTTTCTGAAACCAATGTATTTTATGAGCTGCCTAGCTTGCTTATTTAGAGTAATAAACATACCTCAGCTTGCTCGTGCATCACTTAAAAGCAAATATGCAAAATTATGTTAATAGCAATCAGTTTTCCGTCCTCTATCGCCTGTTAACATTCTTACTTGGCAGCCACACAAATTTACCAATTTATTGTAACGGACTGTTTAGCCAATCTCAGCAATAGAATTTACAAGACAGTCAGATACCATAAGGTCAGAGAGATAAAAGGTCACTTACTTATTGATAGGAGAATTTTACTTGTAATTTGAGTCTTTTCGTCCCAGCAGCTCACAAGCTACATAGCACAGCCTAGTCCGGAAAAGCTCCAGCTGCGTCTTGCTCTATTGCAGCTCGTCAGTTTTGCGCATTCCCTCGCTCCCCTACTTGGGATCGAACTCAGGATATCTAGAACCTGACATCAAATCGGCAGCAGGTCAAGACAATCAGCCTTGGGGGACACCAGCTGGGCTACATAATGTGTGAGATAACTGGGACGTAGCACGTCCTGTCCTCCACTTTCAAGCAGGTTACTACCTAAGCAGATGACGATTGCTATCCTTCGAAGTTCATGACTACCTCCAATAGTCGCTACGTCCATATCCTTTGAAATTACTTGTATACATTTGTGATTGCTTATGAGTAAAAAGAATTTAACTAACCTCAATGCATTAATCTGCTGTCTAGTCGTCAGCTTCTAGCGGTCGTAAACGACCGAGTTGAATGCGCGCCACTGACGGGACCCATTAAGGCAAAACACATCTGGTGCTTTTCTGGATTGTGGTTAAACTATGTAGCTAGTGAGCCGCGGGGACGAAGAGTTTAAAATTGTAAATTCCTTTTATCATTTTGCGGATATTGAGCACAAGGTGACGGTTCAATCGGAAAAATTTCGTTATGCAGAAATGTCTAAATATCAGTCTTATTTTGCCTGGCATGCAATATAGATGTGAGTTTCATAAAACATTTACATCACTGAGCATACAATGTAAGATCATCTTTGTAATTCACCGCTTTTAACAACGCAAGTCAAAACTGCAATAGTAACAGCTTATTATATTAAGTAACGTGTACAATGCGGCAAAGCTAGGAATGCAAGAACACATAGTTTTAGGATAAACAACTGTTTTTTCATAATAGTTATTGGATCCCATTGTTTGCCTAAAAGTTGAAGTAATGCTGTGTTATTGGCTTGTAACACTGTCTAAAGTAAGCCGCTTTAGGACAACCACATATTATCAAAATGTTAGAGGTTAACCTGCAAGGACACCGTGGTTTTAATTGCAATTGTGTAATGCGACCAATTAGCAAAACTAATTTTTACCTTGTTATCAACGATTCGCTAGCCTTCGTACCACTCGTGGCCTTCAGAATTCCGTGGCTCAGCAGTACAGTCATTAACATTTTGTAACCACTTAAGGTGTTAGAGCCCCGCTTCTTTTAACCCATTCTAAAAATGCAAACCGATGCGGAACCGACCATGGAATACAACATTGGCGGCGCGCAATACCAGAGCTTTCGGGAAACCGAGCTACCACAACAGTCACCAGGCTATTGCTGACTACTGGTCACCGAGTCAATCCTGATGAGTCGTTTACGGTATCAACGCGCGGGCAGCAGCCCAAATCTTTGGACCATAGAGGGTCGTAGTTATCCATCACGAACGACCACCGTTTGTTCATTCCAAAATAGCCGACATTGCTTTAAAGACTACCGTGGTATCCCGTACGTTTTGCTATCTATGAACACCTTTTGTTCGTGTTCCAATCTTGCATGCTTTTGTGACTGATAAAAATGCACGAAACGAGAAATCATCTCCAAAACTAACTCTTCTGAAATTCATGTTTATTATCATGAAGGGAAGTGCTTGTTTCAGATGTAAAGTAATTGAATAAACCATACTGTTGGTGCACTAAACCAACTTTAGTCAAAAGCAGAACAAGTGTCTGGGTCTAAGCAAGTGACATACTAGGCCAGAGGGTTCAACTCTTTTCCAAGACAGTACTAGGTATGCCAAATTTCCGGTCTATTAGGCAAGGTGTTCAACGTATTCCTTGGGTATTTAGGGGAAAATACAAAAATATATCTTGGTTAATATTATAACTTGCTACCGCTATTTGTAAGCTAACGTAATCCTAACCAGATATATCATATGGAAGTGTTTTGCTGTTAATATCTGTATGGACACAATCTCAGTTTATCAGCATCATCTTTGTTCTGACTTTTTTAATCCTTAATTTAGAGAAACGTGCGCAAGTAGAGGAATATATGGGCCCATCTACATTGTGGTAGCTGCATTTGAAATGTTTTAACGACCTAAAAGCGACAGGTGTAGAAAAAAGGCCTACCTGTTTGCCTTCGTATTGAAGAAGCACCGCTGTTAGATCTGGTGTGATGGAAAAGGATCCAGTAAATCGAAGTTTCTGCTCCGAAAGAAAGCAAAATAAAATCGGTTTGCTTAAATTGTACGAGAAGAAGATAAATACCAACTACGGTCACCATGTGACAAAAGGTTAGATTTGAGTGATAATTTGCTGTTCATCTTTTCATCATAAATTATTAAAAGCTGCCTTTACTGGACATAACATTATACTTATCGAAAGCGCGTGCTCCTATGTTACAGATTATAGGATATATATTTTTGGTGGGTAACATTTGCGTGTTAGTAATATTTAGTAATTCAAACAATGTGAATATGAAATTGATGCAATGTTAGAGTACATGCTGTTTTCTGAATGACCTTAAATCGTTGAGGGTCTTTTAATTTGAAAAAGCGGACCAAAGCGGCACCTGTACATACTGTCCGCCAGTTGATTCATAATCCGTAGTTAAATCATTTTTGACGAGGAAACATATCTTCAAGGTGCTATTATTTAGTTGTGTGTAAGTGAACCAGATAAGTCATAATTGCGAAATTTAGATTAGAGAAAAATGATTTCCGAATCACTTTTATGAAATCCATTGTTATTCCAAACAGTAAGCAACGCAATTGCTGACATTTAATCTTTCACTTTGCGTATGCTGGGAAATTCAGCATGAACAAAATTAAGCATGTATCATATGGTCCGGCAAGCGTGTAAATTATGTGTAGAAATGGATTGTAACCGATGCAGATGATTTAGGTATTGGTGCATGGACGCAACTAGTAGATCTTGCAAACGCCTGCCACAAATTGAGTGTCAAAAGTCTTCCAAAGTCTGGTTACTCAGGAAGCATCACTGGACATCAGCAGACCTACCTCGTTTATGATCATGTGAGACAAAAGGATTCTTTCCTTCATGGTGGATAAGTTGATATGAACCAGGTCGTGGTCAGCTGAGAGATATACAAGTTGATCTGAAACAAATTACAGTCTTTAATTCACTGCCGCAAAAATTGTGTATTTGTGTACATTTTTTATGTTAAGCAGACAAGTGGTAACAAAAGCCAATAGTTGTACAGAAGCAGTAGCGTTTCACTGCTGCATTGATAGCCGGTAATTACGACAGAATAAACTGCAGAAAAAGATATTGTTTTGAATACCACTTGTCAGTGTTATTTGATCCATAGAATTTTGTGAGAAAATTAGTTGATCCATTAGATGTGCTGGATTCACCATAATCAACAATACTATTTATTTAATGGTATACGTCGCATGCCGACGCCAAAAACCTTTTGTTTTATATTTGCAGAACGCGACTGCCATTATTACGAATTTATGATGTTAGAAAATAGATGACTCATAATAGTGCGTGTTGTCCATGATTTTATCTGTTAGCTATAATATATGTGGCTCCGATTCTTCAGTGCATAGTGACGTGGTTTTTAACCATTTATCCCAGACTACTTCTGGGGTGCAGTCAGTCATGAATGTGTAAATAACATTTTAAAAACAGGTAACAAAAGGCTACGAATACAGGAGTGTACGGTTTGTTTTCATTTGCTATGACGAATACCTTGATTTGGACCCCCAAAAAATGTAATGTATCGCTCATTATCAGATTCGTTCCGCATTCGTTAAAAATCCTAGTTAGAAAAATATGACTGGCTGCACCCCATATAATCTATGATAAATGGTTGAAAACCAAGTACAAGTCACCGAAGAATCGGAGCCATAATCTTCCATCATCCCATTAAACCAACATTATTCATAAGAAAACAAACATGAAGGAGAACGCATGGTGTCTACACGGAAACACTCAGGACGAGGAAAAGGAGACAGCGTACGTAGCTCTGTGCAATCAATATGTACAGCTGGTTAGTAAAGATAAGTTATCACATCAACAGGAGCTAGCAAAACAAGTATATTCCAACTACAAGTTTCTATACAGACACGTGAATGCACTTCGGAAGTTGCAGTGTGGAATCCCACCACGCAGTACGATTGTTGGGTACGTACCCACAACAAAATAGGCGGCCAACGCCTCACAGGCCCAGTAATGGCCTACCTTTCAAAGAGTTGTAGCCTCAAATCCTATACTTGATTCCGGCACCACACCATCGGTGATATTCTGCATCAAATTCACGTCAAAAATGATGCTGAAATAGCTACTATACTTGTGTACACACAGCTTTCCTGCAGTGGACAATGTTCAACCCAAAGCACTGCAGGTAGCAGCCATTTACTTAGCCCAACCACATGCCGGATTCTTTTAGAGAAGCCTGTCTCATCCTACCAATTATCGTCCGGTAACACTTCTCCCTGCGCTTGCCAAAGTCATGGAAGCAATCACCGCTGACGCAATGATGGGCTATCTGGCAAGCGTCGGCGATGCAGTATTAATATGTGTGGGTTGGAAACCTTCTCCGCAAAAAGTAGTTTTAGGTTAGAGTCCAAAATCTCTGCTCAACCATAATCGAGTGGAGTGCGACGACCTTGCAAGTGCTATCGCCAAAAGGTTAACATTTTGCGGATAACGTTAAACGTTGGCTGGTGATCAAGGGAATGGACAACCACAAGATCTTCCAGGTGCGACCTAGATGGCACCTGGCATTGACCGCTGAGGAATTCACTGCAATGCAATGTGGTCAAGTGACACCTTGTCCACATTTGCGATAGGCTAGCCTATCCTCGCAAAATTAGGTCATACGACCTGCCAACAAGTCCTCAGGAACTTGCCCACGGTGTGCTGATGCAGGACAACTTCGTTTATTCCAGACAGTCGGAAACCGCTTCAAAAGTGGTAACCAGCAAGTTGTTAGCTTGCGAATGGTATTCGAAAGTTTGGATTCAACTATATTCTCCATGATACTCAATGCCGTTGTGCGTTCCCACTTCGAATACGCAAACCAGGCTTGGCGTCCTTGGCTTAAGTGTGACCTTACAGCGCTCGAAAGTCACCATGGTCGAGCAACAAAAGGTGTCGAGAGATTGTACAACCTTTCGTGCCAGCAGCGACTAAAAGCAATCGGAAAGTTCAGTGGGCGCTACAGATGGCTACGTGGAGACCTCATATTTGTCTACCATTTGCGGAAAGACCCAATTTCCGCATGTCGCCATCCATTGCAACTCATCCTGAACACCAATTTTAGAGGTACTAGCCTCAAACTGTGTCAACAACACAGTCGGCTTTGCATTGAGGCTTGACGAATCTCAACTCATAGTTATCCAGTGCTTCAGCTATAATTTGACATCGAAGGATTCGGTGTCTACGCGGTTCATGTGCACCACCACAGGATAGACCTAAAGCATTCTATCAGACCGGTTCCATGCTTAGCACCATCTGCCAGTGGACCAAGTTGGTCGTTAATATTTTTGTGCAAATGGTTAAGTACCATAAAAAATATGTTTTGGAACTCTCATCTATGTTAGTAAAGGATAGGTTCAAAATGTCCGTCGGCGTTCTGAGCGCAGTGCAGAAACCGCATGACACCGTTGGCGAGCACTTTCTCCAATGTATCCCTCGTGATCGCGCGACATTCCTTCACAATATTTTCTTTCAATCGGTCCCATGTACGCACCATTGGTTTGTACACTCGCAGCTCCAGATAGCTCCATAGTAAAAAGTCCATGGTGTTCAAATCTGGTGAGCGAGCAGGCCACTCCATTTGTCCACCGCGTTCCATCCAATGGTGACTAAATTTGTCGGTGATGTAAGCACGCATCGTTTTGGCAGAATGTGCAGGTAGGCCGTCCTGCTGCCACCAAATGGTACTGCATCCAACTTCGTCCTTCAGCTGTGGAAACACAAATGTCTGCAGCATTTCCAAGTACGACTGTGCTAGGAAACGATATGGCTTTAGTGCTTCAAAACAACAAACTACCGGTCACATTCCCGGAAGAGAAATATGGGCCCAAGATTTTCTGGCTTGTTATTCCAGCCCAAACCATCAGTTTTACACTGTGTTGCATACGTGATGCGATATATTTTCATGGGTTACTGGTAGCCAAAGGCTAATATTTCATTGTTCCATGCAGATTAAACAAGACTTCGTCTGTAAAGATGACAGAACGAATATCCCAGTGATCTAGAAACCAGCGGTAAAACCCATGCCGCTTCTCTGAATAGCAGTGGTTTAAAAACTGCACTTGCAATGAACGGAATCATCGAAATTTTCCTTCCAGTAATATTCGGTTTACCGCATATCTGGTCGTGTCACCGTGCTGTGCGATCCGACGAATGCTGAGATCGGGACTATTTGGCTTTCTACTGACTAAAACACAAGGTGAACTATCGTCCGTGGTGATCCAAGGCGTTCTGATTCTCTGCATGTTGCACACCTTCCCAGGTTATTCGAACGTTTCCACTAGTTTAAGCACGTATCGGGCGGCGGCAGAAGGCATTTCTGCGTTCATTCAATGTATGTTCGTGAAACTAATGTAGCGTTTAAAGCCTCTTTACCGTACATCCGAATAATCAGCGCGCACTGAGTAACAGGCATGCTACGTGATCCCGACGGCATTGTCTGCTCATGGTCCATTACCTGTGGCAGTGCGAGAATGACTTGACTTGCGATGCCTAACCTTGTCCTCAGCTAATCCAAAACACCCCGTTCACTGAGCTGCCATCAAGTGCGCACATTCACGCTTCAGTTTCGGTTGCGCACTTTATCTCGCCTTCAGCGGTTTTGCTGCATTGCCAGCTAGACGCACAGATAATCGTCGATCGCTACAACGCCTACGGTTGACCATGACCTTCAGCACTCAGCGCGACGTTAGCTGACAGCTAACAAACGTCGGAAACACTTTGTGGGTGGCTGTACTCATTTCGCTGGATGACCAAAACAGGTGAGTCCTTCACCAGCTTACGGCTGCACTCAGCTGAGCCCTGCACTAAAGCACTCGTCTGCCCGGAATTCCATACGTCCTTACCCTTAAGGTAAGAGAAATTAATGTTTCCGCGCACGCAGTATCAGTTTGCAAATTTTGCTAAAACTTGGGTGGCTATTGGATGGTGGGGACAACAACTGTAAATGACCGGCGTTCACCATAAGCAGGCCACGGTAGGTACATGAACGCGGTCGTCGGCCTACAGCCGTCAGACTAAATTTGGTGCTTGTGCACGCTTTCTCGCTGCTACACACCTAATCTTTAAAGAAAAAATAATATTAATAATGAGCCCCTGATTTAATTTTCACTGCCTTAGAGGTCTTGATTTAGCACATTTACAACACCTATTGATTCACGTCTGATAAGATTTCACTCCAAAGCATTTCCGCTACTTTCGCTGTAACGTAGAGCAAGGATCCGTCTGCCAAATTACAAGTTACTTATCGGTTCGGTGAAAATAAAATACACATTGTGACATTTACAACATGTAAACTCTAAGGAAATATCAACAGACCTCATGCTTAAATAAGTTTAATGACTTGTTTTATGTTTTCTTTATTTTATGACATCGTGTTAGTCTTGACACAAGCTTTTCTTGTAGATCACTTTAGAATGCTTTACCACAAATTTCGTATTTTTGTTTGAGGCAGCTTTAGTTTTGCGACATATTTAAGGCGTCACTGAAACTTGAACGATTGCGAAAGAAACAAAGGTCTTTTTGAAGTTAACTGCACACAAACGGACAGAAACTTGGTCAAAGGCCTATAAATCTCTTTTCTAATTGTTCTGCTAGCTACCTCCCGATAGGCAAAATAATGTGCTCGATAACCTTTATCTTTATTATTTTCAGACATTCAATGCAAAACGGTTTTGTAAAACTTAAAGTGTGAGAACTTTTCCCTCTTGATGCTATAGCTTCTTTTTCCCCGTTTACATTAAATCAGCTTTAACAACCTATATATGGCATTGCTTTTTGTTCTATTCCAAATGTGTACGAATATACATTCTTCATTTCTATGCTTAGCCAAACAGCCCACAAAAGCTTAAAATGTATTGGACAGCCGTTTACCACTTTTGTGGATTATAAAAAGTGCGTATTTTATCTGACCGCTACAGAACTTGAATTCTCAACTCGACTGTTATCAGTCTATGATTGAGACCATTGAGGTACCAAAAACGTTAACGATATATGTTACTAATAACTCAATAGTTGTGATATAGCGCGGTTGCCTGTCAGCGATATTGTTTTTTTTACTGTCGCGCACAGGACAGGGTAGCCCTGTCTTTAAGCCATAGTGCCTCCTGACTACAAGTAACTAGCTGAGAGTATATTATCAACAGAAACTACCTAAGTATGTAGATTCCACTATCTGTTTTGTACACACAGTGGATTGCACCAAAGGCTGACTAATTCAGAGAGTATTACGTTTCACCTCAGCGTATTTGTGCACTCAGGATAATAAAATGTTAAGTTTGTCAACATATCGCTGGTTGGTTGTGCAGTTAACATCCTGACTCACATATGTTGATTGGGACCCTAGTCAAAATTTGATCCCAAATACCGTTGATTGTTAAATGCTAAATCATTGGTAAAGCATAAAAACATAATAAGTGTTGGCTACAAGTCAGCTGATATAAACACAGGTGGTATTTGCTTGTGAAATCACAGTTGAATCTGCGTCATACCAATCAATCGCCACTATTAACTTAATGCTGTAGTTTGTTTATTCCCTGTTTCTTTGTTTTCTTCCAACTTATTCTGGAATGTGCAATGAATTTCTTGAGGTCGGTCATAGTGTTTACTGTAACATATTGCAGATCAAAGTTAATGCACTTTTCCAGTAACTTCACAGTAGACCACCAACTTAGAAAGTGCAGGTAGAATGCTGGTTCTAATTAAGTGCTTAGTAACGAGTAACCACTTGTCAAACAGCTTCAAGCAGACATCATGGTCGGCTTGCTTCCCCAAAGGCCTTGTGGCATAAGGTGCTGGCCAGTGGTACAAACTACTACCAGTCGTGATTTGATCCCCAGCAGGGGACTGAAGGAAACCGCACCACAGATGTTTCCCAGTAGGACGAAACGAGTACATGTTTTTTTCCGGATTAGCAGATTACTTATGCGCCATGTAGTCTAATTGCGACGAACCAACTGAAATGATTTCGTAATTGAACACCCTGCCTGCAGACGGACTATTATTATAACAGATTACACACTATAGAATTTGCAACATTTACTGCTCCTAGAGTAGATTATTAAAAGACATGCGCCCACTAATTTTAAGAACTAATCCTAAAGACTCTTAAATAAAATGTGAAAGTTGGAAATTAACATCCAAAAATAGGCGAACGGTTAACACTTACCACCTTTCAGTTTGTAACTCAACGTTCGTAGCCATTTGTTCAAATGCATCAAATCATCAAACGTAAACGTTTCTCCCAGGTCCAAAATATGTTCTTCTGTAAGTAAGAAACAGTCACACAAGGAAAATGTTAAGTGTACTTATGTTAATATTTTGTTATTGTGCTGTCACAGTCTATCAACACACATCATTTTCCTATAATCCACAATTTCAACACTATGTATATATCGCGATTAATGCGCTCTAAAAACAGGGGATAAGTAATTTTTGTTCAATAAAAATAAAGTGATATACCTAGTATATTATAATGGCAAAGTCAAGCAAACGTTGATTGCTTTTTGTGAAGGTACGTTGTGGGGATTTGCAACTGATGATGACCTTAGCGAATTTTTCTCAAAACCACTCCTGAAACTATAGCGTGAGTAATAATGATAATATGTAAAAAGAATGCCGGGAGCTGCCCTGAAGTGATAATTTATGGTTTATTAAAGTCCATCAGTTAATAACGGACAGCAGCCCACCAAATTGTTAATGAAACAGAACTGTGATAATATGTTTTTTCTAAGAACGGCCTACAGTGTACAATAAAAGGATCGCTGTGCAAACTGATCTAGATAGAGCTTACACAAGGACACTTGAGCACATGATCCAGTGCAACATGGTCAGGTGCAAAGTTCCGAGTTTACACCATCGAAGTACTTACGACTACCCATGGTAGTAGTCTCGGGTTTTGCGCGCAAAATAACAGTACAAATTGGTGTTAAAGTAATCAAGGCAGTACAATAGCTTAATGCGCAGGTTTTTCGGAAAATCCCACGCCACAGTATTTCCGCAAATGCTTGGTTACCAAGTCAGGTCTTACATAGCAGCCCAGGAAAAGACGTCAGCACCTGGCGCTCGAGACTACACAATCCATGACGATTAAGAATGTTTAACATTCAACCCATTCTACTAATTTAGGCAAGGTTTATAATCGTGTATGATAAAGTGTGTCTAGATTTACGTGCATATCTCATTATCGTGGATCAAGTACTAGAACACCTCAAACTTACCTGCGAACATCTTTTTAAACGCAGCAAAAATATATTGCATAAAGACCCTCAGCTTAACCTGTCCAAACAATACGGACAATTGGAATACCGAAGAAATTTTACCCCCTTTCTATTGTTACATCCCTGGAACTACCTCGCCATGCAATTACTTATTGTCCCTTAGTAATATTGTTTCAATGACGACTTTGATACTAGTCCTTATATAGCTTATGGCCATCAAATTCCGGCTTTCGTGTAAAAGAAACACTAGCTTGTATCTGTCACAAATTAAAATCTCTGTTGGAATACTCAATACATAGTTATCGCAAAACCCATTAGCGAGTACAGCAGCATGCACTTTATTTTGACAATACAATCTGCTTCGTTTAAATTTCGTGCTAACAATCCTACAAAACTTACCATTATAAACCATGGCTTTACAGTAAAGATTATGGTAACCAAAGACAACCTTAACGGAAATGTTTTTACCTGAGTTAATCACAGGCACACGAATGGTAATCTTTGCCGACATCGCAGAAAAGTAAAAACTTTTTTCATTTCAACGCGTTTGTTGCAATTTCCCTTATTTTCATGAGACTGCATGGTTCAGGGCCATGTCCCTACATCATTTTGCTACACTTCGTTAAGTTTAGGTTGTCATTGCAGCTCACCAAATATACCTTTGGTTCCGGGTACTCAGCAGGTGGACGTTGAAAATCCATAAGCAAATTTATCGTACTATACCGCACTACTTACATTGATGTAAACTTTGGTAAATAAGGTTATTCGTATTTTAGATGCACTGTTGTCTGAGCTTGGCAAGTATTAGGAAACGAGGTGGTGATGTCATCTCGACTGGTAGCGAAACGTTTGTAAAATAATTACCAAGTTCAGAGAACAATTCATCTAACAAATGCTGCATTATATTATTATGAATAAACTCGGCTGACAACACATGACGTTACTACAATCATCTTTAGTATCCAATTTACTTTTGCGCACCGATAACTCATTAGGTACGGTTAAACATTCCTTTCTATAAATCAATCAGATGAATAAAAGTTTTACTATGTGTAGGGAAATGTAGGGTAAGAAGTTGTATGTTACAATTCATACAAACAAGTTATGCATTACACCGTCAAAAAGATGCGGATACTGGGCAAAACTAAGCTACCATCCAGTATTTGCCTTGAGCACAGTGGTGCTCCGGATCTCAGCTGCGTGGTTTAGAGTGAGTATTTGTGGTACCTGTTTGCATTTAGGCTGGTAGAATATATACTTAAATTTCATTCATAGATAACCGGCTTGTCATTGTATTATTATTATTGTGTTTGGTTACATGAAATCTTTTTTAGATTTGTTGACATATATCAATGTTAGATAGTTTTAATCATGCTTTAGATTAATTTTGCATCTTGATCTAGTCTATCTCCCACACAGCATTCTGTTTCCTAAACGAAACGGCATGATTCCCTACATTCATTCATTCCGAAGCCTATTTGAAACGGACGTAGTGATACAATATCAATAGAGAGGAACTACTTTTATTTGATAAAGCAGCCCTATAATTACTGCTTGAAATGCTTTCGTACCTCTTGATCACATCAGCTAAGCTTGGCCAGTGCTAATCTTAGTGGGAACCAACCAGTTAAGTTCCAACAGTACTATTTCTGTCAAAAGTGAACCAACCCCTTGAGGTATGCAGTCATTAACAAAAAAGAGTCTTCCTAAATGGATAAAATGAAGGAGCAAGCAAGCAGTTTTATGTGGCAGGCTTTTACTTCTTGTTTTGCACGTCGTGGTAACACATGTTGTGTGGGAAGTTGTCCACTAATTCGGATGCGGTATTATGATAGAAATGCAGAGAACTGATTCAAATAAGCCTCAGCTTCAGCTGAGAAAATATGCAGATATCCAAACACGACGCGTGTACGCAGCAACATAAGACTGTAGGTAACTAAAAACTTAACATGCACTGTCTCCAGATTGTTTGTTGTTGGTCAACTGAGCAAGAAATCGGAGCATACGTTGTACATACTACATCTGCATTATTGGTTCGAATGGTTAACACTGAGTACTTCCGTCTACTTTATAGACCTTCCGAATTTTTAAACTTCTCAAACATTCCACTGAAACTCAAGAAGCAGGTTCGTGTTTTACCACCAATCTTTAAACCAGATTTAACTACTTCGCTTTAAATCGTTCGGGTTTGTAGCTGCACCTACTGACGTACTTACCTGTTCGTGTATTTCGCATCATTAATTTTTCTAATGGTCCAATTTAATCTATTGTTCATTGTTCCTGATGACCCGTTCTTTTTCCAACTAACATTAAAATTTAGGTCCGAATAAACTCCCAAATAAGCAAGCATAGGACTATGCACTTACAGCTAACCGGTACTGCGGTTTCACCTTGGTGTATTGCAGATTTATTCCTTTTATTTCGCAGTTTTCAGAATTGTGCTTACCTGAAGCATTCTCAGGTCGTAAAAATATCATGATCGGCTGAATTTAGGAAATCGTTTTGCATTTACAGCTTTGATGTTAGTGTTGGAGAAATTACTTGCCCTTTAGATTTCCACACGCACCAATGTACTCCATGTACATAAGTTCACTTACAAAAATCACCGCACCACACTAGATAACATTTCATATCTCGAACATTTTTTAGCATCTGCGCTGGATAAAACAAGAGGGGCAATTCTCCTGTCTCTCAACTGTACAGATGCTTTCCTTAGCCATGACAGATCCATCCTGCTTAACCAGCTGTATGCAAATAGATTGCACCAACTGTTTGCGTCATTGTTAAACATACTTCAAAAATCACACTCAAATCACCCTGAGTAGTAAAGCGAATTCTTCTGCGTGTTTCCCTGGTAGTGGGAATTAACAAAGAGCGATCCACGCAACTGCTCTATTTTCATTATATGTTAAAAACTCCCCACACGATCTCGCTTTATTGAATGTAAGAATGCTAACGGTGTCGTTTTGAGATGACTTACTTCATCCTTTTAGACATCTGTTTTTCAAACTTTTCTAGATTCCCTTGTACTTTGGTCATCCTCTTGATTCCTGATTTTGTACCCTTCTAAATGTCGTGCTTTAAAATTCTCTTTACTCTGAGCTGACCCCTTACGAGTAGCTTTGGTCACCATTTGCAGTGTGACTGGTTTTGCAATCTTAGTATATTCTAATTGCTGAAACGTGTTGCAGGGTCAGACGGTTGTCATTTTGCTTCGATACTTATATTTTGACTACATTTAAACTGTTGAACTTTATCTAAGTTTCCCCTGTAATCCTCACTGGGTTACTCAAAAGAGTTACACAGTGGTTGTATGGTCTATAAAGCTTATTTCTAACTGTATCGGATTGCCCGAGAGTCGCTTGAGGAGTGTATTGTTAGCAGGCACTTAGGCGCCTCTAACAGCTTTTATTTCCAAAGTTTAGATAAGATTATTCAATACATGGTGGTCTATCAAAAACACTATGTCCTCTACTCGTTCCATAGTTGATGTCATCCATTCATGCACTGCATCTTGCCACAGCTCTATTCTGTCCTAACTTTCCCGCCTCTTGGCTAACCTGACCAAAATTATTAGTATGGTGCCAAAAATATCCGTTTGAGTCATGTGTGTGGAAATTTTTAAAGGTTTAATCTTTTTACTTAACTGGCATTTCATATGCTAAATATTGGCAGTGATAATGTAAAATGGCGAAAATGCAATTACTTTGGTGCATAAAGCCTATTTTGCTTTGAATTATGTGCAGCAGATTCGATGGCCTTTTCGTCTTCCTGTTTTATATCGTCTTAGGGAATACTAAAGATCTCATTTAATCTCTCTCAGTCCGGAATGCATTTGGTACCAAACGCAGACGTTACTGTTGTCTGTCTGAGTTTCTTTTTATATTGGTTCGAATTTTGGTATACATAGTAGATTTAATGCAACTGATGCTGAAGTCGTTTAATATTCAGTCTATTAGAATCCAGGCGAACGTGATGGCAATTTTCCTAAATTTACTTTCATCCTAAAAATGGATGGAGGGCTCATAGCATTTTTTGTTTTACT